TAATGATGACACTAGGGATAATGATAATAACAATAATAATGATAATAACAAAAATGACAATAATAATGATAATAACAATAATGATAATAGCAATAATGATGATAACGATAATGATAGATATCATCACTATTGTTATTACTATTATCATAACAAGTTTTGTTATCATTAACCTCATCAATGTTATTACTATTATTTATTAGTATCCATAATTCTCTTCAGTCCTCCAAATTACCTGTATTGTCATCATTATTATCATCATCAGTATTATTACTATCAGTAGCATCATTATTGTCATTATGATTATCACTGTCTTTATCACTATCGTCATTATCACTCCCATCCTCACTGCCATAACATCATCTTCATCCGCATCATCATTCACCATCATCACTGTAATCAATGCCATATTTATCACCATCATCATCATCATCACCTTCATCATCATCATCACTCTCACATCCTCCTCATTCCCACCCTCCTCATCATCACCACAATCAATACCATACTCATTACCATCATCATCATTATTCTCATCGTCATCACCATTACATCCTCCTCATTCTCATCATCGTCACCATCATCATCATTATCACTACTATCCTCATCGCCATCACCATCACATCGTCCTCATTCTCATCATTTTCCTCCCCCTCATCATCATCATCACCATCCTCATCCTCATCCTTATCCTCACTATCACCACTATCCTCATCACCACCATCACATCCTCCTCAATTATCATCCTCATCACCATCACCTCCTCCTCCTCAATTATCATATCACCATCTCCTCTCTCAATTATCATCCTCATCACCTCCCTCCTCATCACACTCCTCATCATCACTTCCTCCTCATCACCAACCTCATTACGCGAGCACAACCCCTGCCAGAGTTGCCTGGTTGCAAAGCTCTTACTCAACAAAGCTCAACGTAAGACGCCATTGCACGCCTTCGTCTAGACAAGGAGGCCTCTGTTGCAAGACGCTAGAATCTACTTGATGTATGTTAATTTTTTTTTGCGATTTTTTTTTCAGATTCGAAAATTGTTGAGCAAGAATTTGTTTAGTGCAGATGCTTATAGTGTTTTTTTTTTTTTTTTTTTTTCAAATTTATTAGTATCATTGTTATTATTACTGCTATAATGTTTATCATCGTTATCGTTATTATCATAATTATCGTCGCAATCATTGTCGTTATTATTATTATTATTATCATTATTATTGTTATCATTAATGATAATGATAACAGCAACGAAAACAACAACAATAATAATAATAATGATAATGATGATATTATCATTTTCAACATCATCATCAACATTATTGTTGTTATCATTATTATCGTCAAAAGTATTATTATCATTATCATTATTGTTATTATTATTCTTATCATTATAATTATTATTATCCCCATTTCTGTATTCATTGTTATTATCACTATTAACAGAATCATTGTTATTGTTACCAATATCATTATTATTGTTACTAATATCATTAATATTATTGTTATTATCATTTTATGAATGTTATTATCATTATCATAATTAACATGATTATCATCATTACCATTACCGTCATGTATTATCACCATCGTCATTTCTTCATCTTTGTCTCCTCCTTCTCCTTATTACTAGTATCATCATTACCCTCATTTACATTGATTACCATCGTGAACATTATGATCAAAGCAAAGCACGTTACATGACCCCCCCCCCCAAAAAAAAAAAAAAAAAAACAAAAAAAAAACAAGACCTGCTTCATCCAGTGTTGTTGTCAGCTGGGTTGGCAATGCGTCACTGCCCTGCCTTCGTGTGCTTTTGCTTTATTGCTTTCTCTCTTCTACTTCTTTTCTATTTTTTTCTACGTATTTTTTATTTCTTTTTTTGGGGGGGGGGGGGTATTTTTCTTCTTTTCTTTTTTCCTTTTGGTTTTTGTAGTATTTTTAGTGACCTTCCTCAGTATCCTCTGTCTTCCTCTCTTTCTTCTTCCTCTTCCTTCTCTTCTTCTTCTTCTTCCACTCTTCCCTTCTCCTCCTCCTCCACCCCTTCTTACCTTCTCCCTATCCACCTCCTCTATCTCCTCCTCATTCTTCCCTCCTCCTTCACCTCCCTCTCCTCCTCCATCCCTCATTCTTCCCTCCTCCCTTCACCTCCCTCTCCTCCACCTCCTCTCCCCACCCTTCCTTCACGGACCTTAGCCTAGCAAGCACGTGCACACGCTACTGCAATCACGTGCACACAATACACACACAACAAGCCACATCCCGTTTTCTTTACCTTTCTCCAGGTCGGTTGATGTTCATTTGTTTTCAGGTGCCTACGTCGGCCGAGTTCCGGAGGGAATGAGTAATTCAGTTTTGAGGAGAAGGTCAAGCAAAGCGGACGGAAGGAAGGGGGAGGGGGGAGGAAGGAGGAAAGGAAGGAAGGAAGGAGGGGAAAAGAGGGAAGGAAAAAAGGAGGGGGGAGGAAGGAGGGAAGGGAGGAAGGGGGGAGGGGGAAAAG